CATATATTTCAGATACCAATTTCGCTCATATATTTAGACTGAATGCAAAACGGTAATAAACCTGAGGAGTTAACTCTAGTTCCACTTCTCCTTGAAGGTACTGCTTCGTGAACTCACTGTTTTCACCAATATAAGAAGATATCATTCTTTTTACCTCAAAAAACAAATTTCTGGAAGAAACTTTCAAAGATCAGCTGCCTAAGTCGGCACAACTTCAAAGAACGTACTCTTTTATTTTGTAACAGTAAACCGACACCAAAATTATCCACACCAACGTCACTGCTAACGCATATTAAATCCCGGGTTCCAGCTTTAAGTAAACCAGTGATCAAATTTTCTGGTATACCACAAAGTCCAAAGCCTTAATAAGAGTAGCTAATTAAAGAAACTATCTTCAAGCCGCGATGAACAACAAAAATTTGTTGATCTATCTAATGAAAACCCTTAATTTAAGTCCTAAGGTTTAGTTACTTTATGGAATCACCACCATATCCAAATAACACAAAATCCCACCTCCAATAAGTAATTTTGCACCATCATGGATGTCTTTAACAGCATCGATAGCGTTGTTAAAAACTTTGGCGTGCCATTTCGAAGAAGATGAAAATCCTACTCTAAAATGACGTGCCTGCAATAAATGGTATTTTTAAACACGTGAAAAAAGGTTTCACACTGTGAGGATAAGGAGACAGCATTTACAAGCCAGAAAAACATGCTCCCATTTCACCGTAGTAACAATTTCTTACATTATCTTAAATTAGTTAGGCCGCAACAGGTCAATTTGACTAAAAAATAACTATTACCTTTACCAGTCCACAACTTAAAAACATTCCGTAGAAAACTGAATGGAAATCAATACATGAAAGATATAGAAATAGATATAATTAAAGTATGCCGTTAAACCGGTTCTTCTTAAATAGCAAACCAAAATACCAAGATAAAGAAATTTAGTAAAATGAACGTTTTAGCAGTTTTGAAGGTTGAATACTGCTAAACACAATGCATTGTCGCTTTCAATTGATAGTGGCAAGAGATAAGATCAAACGGATTAGGTAGTTCAGTATCGAACCAAAGAAAAGTGTTCCAAGAAAAAAACTTACAAAGCCGATAGCAGAAGGTGAAATTGAGCTACATCGAGGTATCATTTGTGCCTTCTTCGAATTTCTCCGACCTGAAACCTTAAACAAACTATTTTTTTATCCGAAAAACAATTGCTTATAAACATAAAAAATTTTCTGCCACTGTCTATCTGGACATTTATATCCTGCTTTTTGCCCAAATTGGCGTTCTTTACTGCTAATAAACTAATAATCAAACTACAAACTTTAGAAATATCCTCTTGACAGTAAAGTGATAGCAATTATTTTGCCCTATTAGAGCCTTCTGAACAACTCAAACATTCTCTATTATGAAGAGTAGTTGCCACGAATTTCTTACGCTTAAAGAGGGATTTTAGAAAGCGAAGGAACAATAAAACAATGATAATTACTTGATTATATTCTGTCTAATATATCCGGGAAACCCTGGAACATCCTTATCCAGCCAAAGAGTTCAACCAGAAACAGCCATTTGCCGACACTCGCCAAGGGAATTACACTGAAATATAAAAATATTGACCACCTGACGGAAGTTGAAAAATAAAAAAGATTATAATTTACGGCCTTCTTTACGTCACACTATCTTCTAGTTAAAGAACGACAAAGTACCAGAGAATTAGTAAAGAACGAATGAAACAAGCGCTTTGTATTCTCTAATATTTAGAAAAAAACTTTAAAAGCAATTCTTAAACTGCTAGCAGAATGGCAAATCCAGAAGAATACGACTGATGTAACCTTAAGCACTTCAATTAGAAATTCCTGTTGATAAGCTCAGTTTTACTCATCTATCCTTACTATTGACATTGAAGTGAATTTACTTTGACTGGCAATAAACAACTTCTGTGTCGTCTTGCACTATTACTAAATATAAAATATAAAACAATTGCAATAGTATTAATATAGTGTTGTATATAGAGAACTGCAGCGTGCATGCACATTAAAATTCTAGAATCAGAGAAACATCCTTGACACACTATCTCTTTATACCTGATCTATCCTCTGCGCCGTTACTTTTTCAAATATAAGTTTTGGATATAGACTACCGAACAACTATGGGACAATTTCAATTACGGCAGCTAAAATTTTACCTACTTTCGCTACCTGATCGATATTGAAGAAGTATACTGGCTAAAAAAGTGCATTTACAGTCATCCAGTGGAAAACACGACAAGAAATATGACTGGAGTCTAGGCCCTCCAGGGGAAACCGGTTTTTTGTTCTTGTTTCAGTGACTGACTAAATATACCCCTTTCTCTCACCAATACCTTTAAAATGTAGTAAAAACTCAAAGATTTTCTTCACCGCATTACGGAATAAAAATCTGTTAGAAATCCTAAAAAACATGATTCTCTAGCAATATCCCGAAGCTAAAATACATACTACGGCACTGAACCTAGCAAGACCCAACACCATGATGATCATAAAAGAACGTGGGCCAAGGGCCAGGACAATAGTCGGAGTTTGGATAAAATGGAACTTTGTATTTCTTATCCTAGTTATCAAGCGGGAACAGTTATTTTGCGATTGAATTCTTCTCCGTTAGCCAAGTTTTATATCCTATTAAACCATCTTTTTCGTACGGAGATATAACAATTAAAAATTTCCATTGTGATTACAAATATATACTGTCGTACTGGTCTCGACGCGAACGTGCATCAAATCTATAGCTGTTTTGTGGAGTGCTATACTTTGAACTGGATACGTTACAAACTGTTGCGTGACCATTTTGGTAAGCACTTTTTCCCCTGTATAAAAGTAACTGAAAGGAATTTTAAAATTGTAAATTTCTAGCTCTCTGATCTACTCTTTCTATACAACTACCTTTTGACATACTATTTCTGTTCTTTATCAGGACAGAACAAAAAGTTACTTTTTGTTCTAAATGTTCAGCATATTCCCTAAAAAAGTCAAACAAATTTGAATAATTTCATATTAGTTTCATGCTTTTCATAGACTTTCATCTGGATAGTTAAAGGAAATAAAACTGTTAAAGGATGCTGGGGAGGGGGAAAAACTACGTTCACTTTTTTTGCTAATGCTTTAAAAAATATATACTCAGAAGAATTGGAGCCGTTTCGAGGGAGACAAGTGCCACTTGACGTTCAACAAAAAAAAATTAAATACAATGAACTTTCTTCAGAATTTTTAGCAATTTTTAGCTTCAGAATACAAAAAAACGCGTCGTTGGTGATACTTTAGAAAAAACTTTTTACTCCTTTTGTTCCCAAAAATAGTCAGTTCTCGAAAACACCTATAAAAAATTCTAGGGCCACAGGAAAAGCAAAACCTCATCAATGCCTTACACGTCCGGTAAAGTATGGAACAATTTGTAAACGGATTTCTATAGAGATAGCACTAAAGCAGTTTTCCTCACCGCAGTGGCAAATTGCCAGCACTGCTGAAATTTTTCCCGCGCCTGCCACAAAAAAAGTACTGCAAAGGAGGAGTCGGAATTCTCCTAGATCATTTATAGTCGGTTAGTTTTTGGTAGGTGTATTAGAAGACTTCTTGGATTATATGCTATTAATTGTTGTCATACGGATGCATTTCATTTTTTTTCTTGTTTCGGCAATAATTTATACTTCTCAGGACTGTCATAGATTGGCGTAGTCTTTTCTCAAGTAAGTAATCCGGTTTCGTTGTTTGGTCCTGTTCTGATGTGATCAGTTAGTGTTAGTGAGGACTTTAAATGGATTGTTTCTGAAAAAATTGTGAAAAGATATTTCTTTCATGTGAGATAATTGGCTTTGCGATTAAGATGTAGCATTCTGAAGAGTGAGTATTTTCTGCTGTTTTCTGTTGGCAATATTGCGTAAAGCACTGATGTTTTGAACAAATTTGGCAGTCCAGTTTCTCCTGCTAAAAGTTTTTTTGTCTAAAATTTTAACAACGTAAAACCAGATATAAGTTGTTGCGCCGAACTGCCTTGTTGCAAAGTTAAGTTTTTAATGCGTCTTCTAATTGAATTGATTAGATGATGTTTAAATACATCATTCTATACAGATGTCGCAGACGTTAATTCTTGACAATGGAGTTGGGACCATAAAAGTTGGATATACATCTGATGAACTTCCAAAGTTTGTGTTTTCGTAATAATTTTCCTTAGTTTTTTTGTCCATTTTTTTCGCGGATATGTTACGTGGAATACTTTAATGGTGGAGATTTTGTGGGTACATCTTTTAACACTAATTAATTATAATGCTAGATTTTTTGGTTTTTTATTTCTCGTATCCTTGCATCATTCCTTTATAGGGTTATATCAAACTGTATCACTAAATCAAAGAATGAAAGGAAAAGAGTTTATACTGCTGACGAATTTGTTGAGTGTAAAGATCACTCGAGTTTATACTTCTTAATACCTGCCGAAAAAGGGTACATAGGTAAAAGGATTTCATTTGAATTTTTACATAACAAGCTATACTGCAATGAACCTGTTAGAGATAGATATTGGCTCTATTGATACCAGTCATTGGTTTAAATTTTTCAGTCAACTGGGATGTTGAACAGAAAATTTGGGATCGCATTATGAGGAAAGATGTGCTTAATGTACAGTTCGCTGATACTAAATTGGTTTTGACTGACCCGATATATAATGTCCCAGCCATTAAGGATCTTTCTGATGAAATTCTTTTTGAACAGTATGGATACCACTCTTTGACGAAAACCAGCGGTAATGACTTGGATAAACTGGATAGCCTTAAAATTATTTAGTGATTAGAAAAGTGAATAGTAATTTTGCTCAAATATTTGATGGTAAAACTTTTCTCTTCAGCTACATCTCTGATCGCATTGGCTGATACCGTAGCAGAACAGTGCACCGACCATTGTTGTGTTGTAGTGGATTCTGGCTATTCATTTACTCATATTGTTCCTTACTGTAATGGTGTGGCTATTCGCAAAGGCATTATAAGGTAAGTTATCTGATTAATCTTATTTTGATATGAAAGTGAGAAATACTTCACTGGACAGCAATGGGGAGAGTGCAGAGTAGTTTGACTTATTGATTTAAAAAGTTTTTAAGTAAAAATAAGATTATGTTTTATAAGCTTTTTAAAAGTTTCTTTTTTTAACTCTAAACAGCTTTTAAGTTAGTAAGTTTTTTGAATATTTTTTCAAACACATTTTTTAACGGGGCAATAATTGGCGGATTTAGTTATTTCATTTCTTTTTCCAAATAGGATGATGTCGATAATAAGTAATATTAATTCCACTTTTAGTATGTAAGTTTTTTACGTTGCATTCTCATCTCAGTTAACCTCTTTGGCTATCTGATGCTAATTTTGGTATTATTTTCTATTAAACTTGTTTATTTAGGAAGATCAGTAGTTGCGTTAATTTCCTTCTTTACAGTGTTACAGTTTTAGAAATTCCTGAAAACTTTAATTTTTTTCTGTGAATTCAGGTTTGCAGGCACATTGTGCTGTTTTAGGATTGATGTTGGCGGCAAGCTTTTAACAAATTTATTGAAAGAGTGGATTTCGTATAGGCAGTTGAACGTTATGGAGGAAACATATGTAATGAATGAGTGTAAAGAAGATATCTGTTACGTTGCTGACGACTTCAGAAAACATATGAATATAGCTCAGTAAATTATATCTATTATTGCTTGAATATCACAAGGAACTGCAGCTAGGATGGCTCTTCGAAGTGATAGGTCTCTTCAGGAAACGAAAAGACGAAAATTCAATTTTGCGACGTTATATTTTGCCCGACTTTATGTCTCATAATCGCGGTTTCGTTCGAGAACCCGGAAATGACGTTAATGCAGATGACTGTCAAGAACTAGTGGTTAATCTCGAGCGATTTGCTGTTCCTGAAGTCTTATTTTCTCCACGCGACATTGGACTTTTTCAAATGGGGATTCCAGAGGCTATTGCGACATCTGTTAGTAGATGTCCTAAAGGTACAATGGTTCAGCATTTAGTGACGTTATTTTCAAACGTCTTGGCAATTTCAATTCATATTCGTTCAATATTGGATTTTCAGCAATGCATGGTCGCTTATACAGCAACATAATTCTGGTTGGCGGAAATTCGCTTTTTAGTGGTTATATGCAGAGGGTGTAAGTTCAGTTTGATACCGGTCATTAGATCTGTCTTGCTTGTACGCAGATTACAGTATCGCCAAATGCAGTTGAATTCGGAACTGCATTCATAATTGTGTCTGAGTTTCTTATTTTTAGTTTGAATGTTTGCTTTGGGAGGGCATGTTTTAAGTGTTTTATTTCAATGTGAAGATTTAATACTCGGTTTTTCTTCCAGAGAAGCAGATCTTCGAGCTTTTGCTGAAGACCTTTATGTTTTACGATTCCGTCAAGTGAAAGATCCAATTATTCATGCGTGGCTTTGCGGTAAACAGGCATTTTTGGGAGGTGCTTTTGATGGAAGGTTTGGATTTGAATAGTTTGCGTTTTAAGAAACTATTAGGTAACTCTGTAAACGTCTTTCCTCGTCTCACTCAGGTTTTATTTTCTTATTTTTCCAGTTTTAATTTTGGTTTTTTTCAAAGCTACTTCGGTAATGTCGTTTCAGGTTTGTCACTAAAGGTGAATATGAAGAGTGCGGCTCAGAGATTTGTAGAAGACGTTTTCTTCGTTTTTGTTGACTTATAAATTATGTTTACTTCTTGTCTATTACTTTGAATCTTTTTGGTATTCTAAGGTTTCCTGCTTTTTACACTATTTCCAGAACTAGTTCAAATGAATTCTACGGGTTTTTGTTTGGCCAGGTTTGGCTGCAGGACTGTTGAAAAATATTCTTATTTTGATTTTTTTGCAATATTGTTGTTATAGAGACAGTGTCTTGTTACACTTATTCTTCCTTAAAAAGGAAAGATCTTTGGTATCTCGTGGCAGTTGTCCACCTACAGACATAATTTTTTTGGCAAAACTTTACTAATTATCTTTCAGAATTTCTCTTCTGTTTGTACATTTATTTTTTTTAAATAAATTATTATTTCTTTTGTGCTCATTTACTGAAGATTGTTATCTGATGAATGATTTTATACTTATATTTTTCTATATAATGTTTCGAAGATAATTTTTTTTAGCCAGACTTAGTTGCTTCTTGTCAAAATCGTGTTTATATCGTATATTTTCAGTGCTTGGTACGTTCGCTTGAGTTTGTTGGTTGGAAGTTTTATTAGCTTATAAATTAAAAAAATTTTAAGGCTTGGTCTTCGAGCTTCAGCGGTTGATTGAAATATGTCAGCTGGCCCAATCCAGGAAAGGAATCAAGGTAATGTTGTTTTACCTCGTTTCTTGGTAAGTTCGTTTTGGCATGTTAGGTAGCTTTGCAAAGTCTGATACTTGTTTGTTTTTTGTATGTTAGGGGGTTTTGTATGTTTAAAGAGATGTGATTATTTAGATGCCACAATATACGTCGGTGGCTTGGACGAGAAGGTTACAGATGCCATTCTTTGGGAGCTTTTCGTTCAGGCGGGGCCAGTGGTTTCAGTAAATATGCCGAAAGACAGGGTTACGAATTCGCATCAAGGGTAATTTGTTCCTTGTTGCTTTTTTTTTTTCTCTTCTGTTTACGACTTTGTTTTTTCTTGAAGATTTGGTTTTGTCGAATTTATGGGTGAAGAAGATGCCGATTATGCAATTAAAATAATGAACATGATAAAGCTTTATGGAAAGCCAATAAAGGTAGGATACCACTTCACTTGACTCCTTGTCATTATGGACTTTTCTGATGTTTCTTACTAAAATTGATAGATATTTTAATTGTGTTTAGGGAGAAGTTTCAGAATTATGAGTTGAAAGTGGTGTTTTAGGTAAATAAAGCATCTGCCCATGAAAAAAATTTGGATGTGGGGGCTAATATCTTTGTTGGTAACTTGGATCCTGAGGTGGACGAAAAATTGCTTTTTGACACGTTCAGTGCTTTTGGCGTTATCTTGCAGGCTAGTCGATTTACTGATATGTTAATTTGATTTTCTTTTCTCCGAGTATTAGTACATTTTCTTTCTAGGTACCTAAAATTATGCGAGATCCGGAAACTGGGAATAGTAAAGGATTTGCGTTTATAAACTTTGCGTCATTTGAGGCATCAGATTTAGCAATTGAAGCGATGAATGGGCAGTTTCTGTGTAATAGAGCTATAACTGTGAGCTACGCTTTTAAGAAAGACGCAAAGGTTTTTGACTGTTCAGTTTACAGCACATTTTTGATCAACAATAGTTAAAGGGCTTTTTTTTGAACAAATTGGCTTCACTAATTAATTTATCTGTTACTTTTATAGGGAGAAAGGCACGGAACTGTGGCAGAACGTACTTTGGCAGCGAAAAATCCACTGTTCCCATCTGATAAGCCAAATCAAAACTTCTGGGATCCAAAAATGGCAATGTTGTCTGGCATTGGCCAGCCTCCTGTCCCTCCACCGCCAGTACCTCCTATTCCTCCTCCAATCTTACCTCCATCAATGGGAGCACCTCCACCGGGAATGTTCCCTC